GACTGGGGAAGGCAGCTAGAGAAGCCACAATGATTTTCACTCCTTGCTGTCAACATCATTATCAAGTCATTCAGTGGTCAGTTTCAAATTGTCTTTTGAGAGCTTGGAGAATGGAAATGGTGATGGGAGCACTCAGTTTCTACAGCATTTCTTGCTTTATTATTAATGTTTTCACTCTTACTCTTTTTAAACTGGTGCATTTTTTTCTTCCTGTCTGTGTGTAGAGTCCAGATCTTTATTTGAAAAAGCACAACCCAACTGCTTCTGCAGAACCATGGTCTACACAGCTGGAAAGCAGGGGGGGGGGATATATATTTGGCAGTGACCGACTTCCCACCTGCTAGAAGAAGTCATGCCTGCCAATTTCTTTTTCTTTTACCTTTTTGCCTTTCTGGGCACGGAAAGAACACCCTTTAAGACAAGGTGTTGACAATCTTGTCGAGGAGTGTCAGTAGCCTGTTCAGGCAAGCAGCAATTGATATCTTGATGAAAGAAGAGTTCTGTGGCCAAGGCTGAAAACTAGGAAGGGTGTGGCTGAAACCGAAGAAAAGCAACCTTATCACAAATTATAGATATGGCCCATGGATCTCATCATTGCCATCAACTACTGACTGGCAGAAGCCTTCCAGATTTCTGCTAGGAGCATTTCCCAGGACTCCTTGGAGAGATATCTTAATTGCAGGACTGGGATATTATTTAAGTCTCCATCTTTGTGTCATTATTAGCTCAACCAGCCGTAGGAAATGCTCCTACATAAATAGGAAACCGCAAGAAGAATCCTGCTAGATTAGATCACAATGACCTTGCTTTCTTTATATAGTCTTGGTTGGGTCTGGGATGTTTTGGGATGCCAAAAAGCAAGAAAAGAGATAATCCTACCTCTGTTTCCAAACTTGAGGTCTGATTTAGCTTCGTAAGTAGTGGTCTTCTTCATGGATTTGTCTAAACTACTTTTAAAGGTCTCTCTGCTAAAGGCTCTCATAAACTCCAGTAACAAGTTCACTAGTATATTTCCTTTTGTTTCTCTTGAATTACTCAACATTCACCGTTGATTGAATGAAGAGAAGCAGGAAAAAAAAAACCTTCTTCCAAATAATTCTTCTACATACCACTTATAATTTTTCAGCCCTTTCACAATGCCCTCTACTATCCAATGGATTCCTAAATTTAAAAACCCCAAAACATTGCAAAATTTCCTTATTTCACAGCTGCTGCAGCCCCTTTGCTTGGGTGCCTTCTTCTGTACCTTCTTGGGGATTACAATAAGGAAATATATAATGGGGGGAAAAAGATCATTCTTTAACTACTCTTTTGAGAATCTGCTATATTACTTGTCGAAGGACACATCTGATACTATAGCTCATAACCAATGTAATGCAATACTGATTCTAAAGTAAGATTAGTTGAGTTCAATAGACTTATCTCTAGGTACATCTAGCTTAGAATTAGAGCTTAAATTCCCTTGACCCCCAATTTTGAGGTAATTTTTATTTGCATTTTTAAAACTTTTCTTGAAGAAAGCCAGATCATGTAGACTTTGATGAGAAAGAAGAAAATAATGTCCTGCTTTTTTTCTTCTTCTTCTAAATGTAGAGAGGAAGTTATGTCGGAATTGGGATATATAGAATTCCTCTGTACTTTTGTTTTAACTAGAAAAAGGAAATAATCTGAAGCTGAGTTACTTTAAAAAATAAAATCATTTGTTATAGTAACCAAAGCACATGCCAGCATACATACACATACATACATACTAAACACTACTCACATAAATGTATCCAATCATGATTAAGTCAATGGATATTGTTTCCTGTTCAGTAAAGCAGGAGTCAGCTATTACTGGTATTTCTTTGCCACTTAGAACTGTTCAGGAATAGAACAGCAAAGCACATTCATAATTGTTTGCTTATACCGTATATCATTAAATATGGAGCATCTTTCAGGAACTTAACCAGGTTGGCACTCTTTGCTTTGAGCTGTCTTACCATTTCAAGTTTTAGTTAACCGTAAAAACTGTTTTGCAGTTTAGATCTGTTTTGCAGATCTATTTATCAGGAATCCAAGTAATAACAAGCATTTAGAAGTAGTTGCCAAAATGCCTCTGATTATTTTGATGAAAAACATTTTTCTCTCTTCCTTCCGCATTGTGGGCTTTTAGATAATGGCATGAATCCTAGTAAAACAAAACAAACATCTTTTATTTTTCTGAAAGGAACCTTCTTCTCCTTCTCTATATAATTGGATTTTCTATTTTGATTTTGGTAAAGAAGACTTTTCAGCTTTCACCTCTACACCCAAAAATAATTACAATACAATAACACAGTTGGAAGGGACCTTGAAGGTCTTCTAGTCCAACCTGCTGCTCAGGCAGGAAACTCTATACCATTTCAGACAAATGGCTGTCCAATCTCTTCTTAAAAACTTCCAATGTTGGAGCATTCACTACTTCTGGAGGCAAGTTATTCCACTGGTTAATTGTTCTAACTGTCAGGAAGTTTCTTCTTAGTTCTAAGCTGCTTCTCTCCTTGATTAGTTTCCAACTGTTGCTTCTTGTCCTGCTCTCAGGTGCTTTGGGGAATAGGTTGACTCCCTCTTCTTTGTGGCAACCCCTGAGATATTGGAACACTACTATCATGTCACTCCTAGTCCTTCTCTTCATTAAACTAGACATACCCAATCACAGCAACTGTTCCTTATATGTTTTAGCCTCCAGTCCCCTAATCATCTTTGTTGCTCTTCTCTGCACTCTTTCTAGAGTCTCAACATCTATCCCCTCATCCAAATCATTGATGAAGATGTTGAAGAGCACTGGGCCCAGAACAGAGCCCTGGGGCACCCCACTACACACTTCAATCCATGTGGATGCAGTTCTATTGAGGACCACACGCTGAGTATGGCCGGCCAGTCAGCTATGAATCCATCTGGTGGTGATATTGTCTAACCCACATTTTTCTATCTTATCAAATAGTAAGTTGTGGTCTACTTTATCAAATGCCTTACTGAAGTCCAAGTAAATTATATCCACAGTATTCCTCTGGTCTACTACCTGTAAATAATGATCTGAGCAAGAGATTAATTCAGAATATTTCAGCATTTATTTTAAAACATGCATTACTGGGTCAGTCTTGCCATCTCAGCCAGTTCCATCAATGTTACCATCCATTCTTTCATTGGGGGTATTTTCAAATCTTTTCACATGAAATTAAGGTGAGAAATGTGCATTGCTTTTCTGGTTTATTCCTTATGCCAGCAGCAAGACAAAAATGATGACAAAACTTCTCTTGATCTATACTAAATCTTACTTTCTTACTTGATGTCAGCCAGTCAGATTCTGGATCAAGCACAGAAATTTTTTTCTCTGTCTCTATTTAGCTTACAAGGTAGGTACGATGGCATGTACTGTGTTGATTTTATAGAGTTTACTTTTGATTAAATTTGTATAAAGTTATATGGTTTTCCATATTTCAGAGCAATATAGGTGCACAATATACCGGTACATGTATGTGCTGGATATCTACACAACAAATGAATCGATAGAATCCAAGGAATCTAGGTTATTCAAAATAGATCAGTTTTTCCCAGTGTAACGCACTCCAGATGTGTGAAAATTGTACCTTTTAGAATTCCAGAGATGCTCAGGCTGGCTAGGCATCCTTGGATAGCTTTTTTAGGGATGCGGCCCAAAAAATGTTGAAAAAGGTGGATTAGATTCCTGAAATTAGTACTTTCAGCCCTTCTAGAAGGTACTGTTACATCAGATTTTTATCTGGAACAAGCATCATTGTCAAAACCATACTGAGATGATCAACCTTTCCATTTCCCATCACTTCTGAATCCATTTTAAAAGGCACTAAGACTTTGGTTGCTTAACTACTTGCTGACTGGAATGCTTTTTTTTCAGGACCTGAATACTGCATGAACCAGAAGGAGGGCTGAGAAAATATCTACAGACCCCTCGTATCCTGGACAAAAACTGTTTCAACTCTTCCCTTCAGTACACTGCAATAGGACATTACATGCCAAAACAACTACACAGAGGGACAGTTTTTCCCTCATGCCATCACTCTGCTGAACAACCAATTCCCACAGCACTGTCTTAGGCCTAAAGATATTTACCCATGTAGTATGGCTCTGTTGCTATTATACTTCTCATCTTTTCTATTACCTTCTTCTAGTGGTATCTTATATTATATCATTTTGTTGTTTGTATCTTATGATTTATGATTGTATCTTATGATTTATCACTTTGCTGCTTGCATGTACACTGAGAGCTTATGCATCAGAGACAAATTCCTTGTGTGTCCAATCATACTTGGCCAATAAAGAATATTCTGTTCTAAAGAATATTCTATTTTTGACCTAAGGTAGGGAAACCTGGTAGGGCTGAGTTCAAATGGGTATAAAACTGGTGTTGTGAATGGAGCAATAAAGTGCCCTCCCTCTCTTCCTCTGCTCAGAAGAAGAAAAATTGCTGAGAGTTGCTGGCTGTAAAACAAGGCAAACAATTTTACGAGGTTCCAGGACCTTCCCTGGACAACAGGGTGCTCGTGGACAACAGGGTTATATACCCCCAGTCTTCTTTTTCTTGACCCTCTTCCTGCAAACTTCTCTAATCTCCAAGCTGTTTTGGGGACCATTCTAGATATCCCCAAGAATGAAGTCCCTGAGTGTGGACACTAACCCTGCGAGAAGTCTGAGCACTTTTTTTCTCCCTTCTTCTACTGCTGCCTTTAAACAGCATTTCCTTAATGTGTACAATGGCAAGTCCCCATTACAACATGGTTTAATCACCAAGACGTTGATCTCATGTTGAAAACAGAATTTGCAGCCCCAGCAGTGTATATATTTAAGGAAAGTAAGGCTAGTTTTGAAACAAGCAACATTTTTCATTTCTTTTATGTTATGCTTTAATACAGTGCTTTTTTTCTAAAAAAAAAAAAAAAAGTGCCAGAACTCACAAACGTCATACAACCCGCCTTGCCTATCCTACAAGGTTCCATCCAAAAAAGGTGCTGGAACTCCATTCTGGGCATTCTGTGAGAAAAAAAGCCCTGCTTTAATGTATGCAAAAGAAGAAAAGAACACAAAAACACCAACAGAACAACAAAAATAAAAGGAAACCAAAGCATATTAGGGTACACATAATAATTCGATAACATTTTTTCCTATACATCATTAAACTTTAACCACATTAGATAATATTCATCAGTCTTTCCAATACAGTGGTAAAGAGCCAGTTCATAGACAGAAACTAAACACATATCCAAAATTATGTGTTGAGAACACATAATGTTGAGATTATAAATCTGGGAAGCCTCTATCTTTCTGACTTTGAACAGTTTGCTCTTCTCCACATTGGATCAATTCACAGTTCCTCGTAGAGTAATATTCCAAATTTCCGGTATGCAATTCAAAAGTACATTCATATCTTAAAACTATAATGAACTTTGTAATGCTTTAAAGTTAAGGATCTGATGGATTTCAAACCAATCTTATAGTTCTTGATCATGAGTGTCAAGTGTCCCCTTATCTGTTTTACAGTTCCATTTGAATGAGGCTGTTAAGCAACCTTTTGAAATGCTTGAGAGAGAGAGAGAGAGAGAGAGAGAGAGAGAGAGAGAGAGAGAGAGAGAGAAACATGAAAAATTAATAAAAAATATTTTCATAATTTTATAATAACATTAATTTCATTAATTCATTTTAAAATCACAATAAATACTGTATCCTTGATATTCACCTCCTCCACCAGGATTGTACCAATTTTCTATTATTCTTTGACTGAGAAATAAAGTCTACCATTCTCCTAGACCTAGATAGTCACCCCTATTTGTCATGCTATCTTCCTGAAAGACTAAACTAGCAGGAGGCCTATATTTCCTTTCACTATTGTCCATCCTCTATAACAGGGGTGTTCAAACTTGGCCCTTTTATAACTTGTGGACTTCAACTCCCAGAATTCCTCAGCCAGCATAAATGTGCTGGCTGAGGAATTCTGGGAGTTGAAGTCCACAAGTCATAAAAGGGCCAACTTTGAACAGCCCTGCTCCATAAAAAGATGTTAAGGGAGGCTCTTGTCCTGGTAACTTGCCCATCTAGTCTATTTGTGTTATGCTTGTCTAAGACAGCTGCAAAGGTGAGTTTATGCTGGGCTTGTCATGTGAATGCTTTTACTATACAATGAACTTTATCTTTATTTTTATGGCCTTTCGAAGACTTTCTCCAGTCCCTAGTCTTTGTTTCCTGTGTAGCTATGTGGAGATATTATATGGGCTGGAGAGCAGCCATACATGAAATGTAACCTCAGAAGCCAGAGAATTGCTTTCCTCTGATTAATATTAACTAATATTGTTTTAGAAAATGGATACTGAGTTTTAGAAACAGATTGCTAAGATAGCCTGCACTCTGCACTGAGCTTAAAATAACAGGATGGGGACTATTTAAAAATGCACATTTTTAGTTCTTTTGCATACCTATTCCCAATCTTTGTTAAACTAAAGTTTCTGTTTTCCTGACAAGCATAATCACTGGCCAGGTTGACTGCTTCAGATATTCTTCTAGTCATTCTTTCAAGAGGGGTATTCTAAAGTTAGTGGTCAGTGAACCAGAACCTACATTGTCCAACTGAGGACAGAGACCTTGTTTATTATGTCAGCACAAACATTTTTTTCCTGATAAACAAAGAACTTGTTTAAGTTTCTAACGTATCTCATCCTCCTGGAGAATCAACATTCTTAGGAGAGACTACAAACAGCAGGAAGAAAACTGGGACAGGCTGTTCCCAGTAAGACCATTGGTTCATCTGTCCCAGTATGGCTTACACTGGCTAGGATGCACCAAGGCAAATTGGCTGGCTTCCCATTTCCCATTAAACCATTTGCAAATGTCTACTAAAGCAATTGGCGGATTCCTCTGGCTTTGCTGCCCTTGCTCTTCACTGGGTCACCAACTGATCTGGCACAGTAAGGCAGGTCTGACTTCAGGATTTGATCCATTGCCTCTCATAGTGTCTTGCCATTGCCCACTGTGACGGAGAGTTAAGCTCCCAAATGGGTTTTGTAAGCAGACATACTTTGGGCAAATACAAAGAAGATAGTAATTAATAGCCAGAGGCATAGTGTGGAAATTGTTTCAGATTCTTTTAAAAGGATCAATATTCTAGGGTTACTAAGTAAATATGATACCTTGATAAGGTTTTATTATGCAGACAGGAATGTAGCAAGCTCAAGCCTGATGCATCATTATACATTTCTCAATTGAATGAACTCATTTATATATTCAGTGATGATTGTTTATGCTAAGGAGATCTCTGGGTCTGTGATAGACCTACTTTCTGGAAATGAAATAAGATGATCCATGATAGCTGTGTCATTGACAACGATGGCTTCTGTGGTTTATTTAAGCTATTGAAACAGACTTCCTCTGATTCACCATTCCCCTCTTTGTGCAGACATTTGTACCAGGTGTCAACGCTGCTAACATTGGATGTTCTTGCTTTGACAACAGATGGAAATGCAGCCATTTTCTCTATTGCTTTTGGAATTAGTCGATGCTGGGAGGGGGAATAGGAATGACAGTCCAGCTAGTCATAACAATAATAACGTAGCCAAGGGAACCCAAGGACATTGGGCCCAGAGCTGATAGTGTTTTGGTGGGCTGGAGAACTGGGGAGAAAGCCCGCACTTCAAGCTAATTGGGGAATGTGATTTATGACTGTTTATTGGAGGAGGGAATTGCACTTTGTTACTTTGTATCCAGGGGAGGGGAATTTAGTTTTTGATTTTAACTATGTAATGCCAATACTTTGTTTCTTGAATAAAAGATTCTTTAAGGTAAACAATGCCTCAAAGTTCTTTTGAAGAGTTTCATCTGTCGGAACCATGACACCAGGGCAATCTCATATGTTCTGGCCTAGGTAAGGTTCGGTCCCTTCAGAACATGTTGTTTAAGATTTGCTTTGTATCTGGACTAGCAGCCACTAGCAGGATGAAAAATAGATAAATATTGTCATGTGCCTTTTCATAACAATACCATGGGCCTTCCCACCAGCCATCCAAGTCAGTGGAAAACCATATTGGAATGTATTTTGCTGTCCCTATTGATTATTCCTATACTACTTCTATTGGTTCCTAATTCTTGCTAATCATCAGACTCCCCAAAAGTTACAGGTGAGAAAACCAAAAGGATTTTATAGATTTTGAAACTACTGTGTATTGGGCAAAATTGGAATAAGAAGAAAATGCTACTTTAGCGTGGGTACAGCTAAGACAATCCTGCCCCCATTTCACTCACAAGATGGGGGCAGGATTAAGACATATAAGGGGGACCAAGCAGAAAAAAGATGTGGCTACAGCATATGACAGCAGTGTTCCAATATCTTAGGGGTTGCCGCAAAAAAGAAGGAGTCAAGCTATTCTCCAAAGCACCAGAGGGCAGGACAAGAAGCAATGGATGGAAGCTAGCCAAGGAGAGAAGCAAACTAGAACTAAGGAGAAATTTCCTGAGAAAACAATTAATCAGTGGAACAACTTGCCTCCAGAAGTTGTGAATGCTCCAACACTGGAAGTTTTAAAGAAGAGACTGGATAGCCATTTGTCTGAAATGGTATAGGGCACAGGTCGGCAACCTGTGGCTCTGGAGCCGCATGCGGCTCTTTGAGTCTTCCCTTGTGGCTCCCAGCCTCCTCTGCCTCTGCAGAGAGAGACAGAGAGAGGCAATTGCGCTTCCCTGCCCCCCCCTCTCTGTGTGTGTTTGTGTTTTTGTGTGTGTGTATGTGTAAAAGAGCGTGCACTCACAGTGTTCTCCGAGGAGCTGAAAAGCTTACTGGGCGGAGCTCCTCCCTTTGCTGCGTCTCTGCAGGAAGCAGGAAGCAGGAAAGGCAGGAGAGAGCTAGCTAGCCCAGCTAGGCTGACTCAGGAATTCTGGGAGTTGAAGTCCATGAGTCATAAAAGAGACGAGGTTGCCTACCCCTGAGCTTGTGGACAACAGCTTGAAGCTTGCCAGGTGAGCAGCAGATAGAGAGGGGGGGAGAGAAAGAGAGAGAGAGAAAGAGAGAGAGATGGAGGGAGAGAGAGAGAGAGAGGAAAGAGAGAGAAAGAGAGAGAGTGGGGGAAGAGGAGTGGGAGACCAAGGGCAGATAGAGAGGGAGGGAGAGAGAGAGACAGAGAGAGAGAGAGACCCTTTTGACATCTAAAATGAAGATAACACTGCATATATCCTTTTTTTACCTGTGTGTGTGTGTGTGTGTGTGTGTATGTATGTATGTATGTGTATACACACACACACACATATATATATATACACACACACACACATACACACACACACACACACAAACACACACATACCTATACTAAAGGTAAAAAAGGATATATGCAGTGTTATCTTCATTTTAGATATCAAAAGGGTTTTGCGGCTCCCAGTGTTTTGTTTTTGGTGGGAAATGGGTCCAAGTGGCTCTTTGAGTGTTTTGGGTTGCCTACCCCTGGTATAGGGTTTCCTTCCTGAGCAGGGCGTTGGACTAGATGACCTCCAAGGTTCCTTCCAACTCCTATTCTATTCTATTCTAGTCTAGTCTAGTCTAGTCTAGTCTAGTCTAGTCTCTCAGCAATTTGGCCCAACCTCTTTCTTGCTTCCCTACTATCTAGTTGGTGTTTCCTTCTCTCTTTCTTGTTCTTTGAATAAGAAAACAAGTGACTGAAGAGCTGGGAGGAAGCAATTCCAGATCCAGTAACTCTAAAATATTTGAAGACAACTTGAAGACAAGCAGCAGTGGTGCCACTGGGCTAATGTCTAAAACCTCCTTAGAACAAGGAACAGAAAGGCTTAAAATTATGTCTCCAACTGAATATTATCAAAGTGTATCTTTCACCCTTGTGTGATGACTATAACACGAAAGGAGCAAGAAGGCTCACTAGTTTGAAATGAAGAAGGCACCAAATGTTTCTTGCGAGCTCATGGCCTCCTCTTAATTTTTTAAAAATTTTTTCCCCTCAGTTCATGTAACTGGAAGGATGTGATTCTTTATGGACTGAAACTGTCTTCAGTGCTCAGTCTGGGCTCAGCTGCATTCCAGTTTCATGTTTGTCAGAGCATCGCCTCCTTGGGTCTCCCGGCTGCCCTCCTGATTAGTAATGCATTATACTGGGGCAGACACTAAGAAAACATCTTCTTAATAAAGACAGATTGTCTACTTTGCATATGAATGAGAAAAGAGTAAATAAATTAAACATTAAGTATTAAAATCCGGAACCACATGTTCAATGCTCCCATGATCATTTTTTTTTTTTTTAGTTTCCTGTAAAGTAGATCTTGAGGTTTTGTCCCTGAGTTTTTGCAGATGATAATTCAATTATAAGAGAAAGTGCAGCTATGGCTGGAAACATGCCCATCTTTATTTTATAGCAAGCATAATTGTGGCGAATATATATTTTACTAGCGCTCAAACTGCATCTAAGTGCATAGGATGAAAATCCAACTTCCTCTTTCCTTGGCAAGCATTCCTGTTATTTCAGAACAGTTAGCAAAACTGTTAGCAAAACGGTGAAATTACTATAGCTGGATAGGCCCATGTTATCACTGGTAATGGGTAATGCAGCAATAATTAGGCCAAAATAGGTATTGTTGGACTTAAGTTCTCATTACATCCAACTCAGCATAGCTGGCATGGCAATGGGAGATGTATCCTAATTTCTGAAAGATTATAACATACTAGATTCAGGTCTAAATGCATTTAGAACATACCTCTACTTGACCAGAAAGGCCTATAGTAAAGCAGAACTGATTCAACTGACAGACATCAATTCTTTTTATTAATTCATGATCAGACATGGGGATCCTATGGCTCGTCAGGTGTTTTGGTTTCCATCTTTAGTTAATCCGGCTCAGAAGCTATGCTTGCTGAGGCTGGTATTAGACAGAGGCGCCCCAGTTCCATATTCCCACTGTAAAACAAAATGCACAGTGTATTTGCTGAAGTGCAAGACATCACAGAGATGCTATTAATACATTAGCTTAGAATGACATGAGTGACAGAAATACTTTCCGTCCCTTGTTAAAGACTTCTAAAAGTAACTTCAAAGTGAGGGGCCCTCAAGTTTGTAATATTACTCTACTAAACATACACGCTCAGATATTTCAGCCTTCAGGATGAGAAGATGATAACAACTCAATATAAAAATGACATTTTTACAACCCACATTTGGACATGGAAGTTTTTGCAGGGATAGAATTTCTGACCTGATCCTATTCTGAAGATTTCTGAGGGTGTACATGTTAACTGATCCAAAATCTGCCAATCCTTCTAGATCAGGGGTGTGGAACCTTGGCTCTTTTATGACTTGTGGACTTTAACTCCCAGAAGTTAAATTCTGGGAGTTGAAGTCCACAAGTCATAAAAGAGCCAAGGTTCCACACCCCTGTTCTAGACTCACAGCTCCTGCTTGAGGAGCAGATGGCAACTGTGGCTAGGAGGTCTTTGTCCGGTTGCAGCATACTGTATAAACCAATTATACTTTTCCAGATTTAGAACCATACTCATAGTTACTTTCAGTGACTCATAGTCACCTGGGATTGTCAACTTTCAATTGGTCTATTGCAGGGGTAGGCAACCTTGACTCTCTTATGACTTGTGGACTTCAACTCCCAGAATTCCTGAGCCAGCCATGCTGGCTCAAGAATTCTGGGAGTTGAAATTCACGAGTCATAAAAGAGCCAAGGTTGCCTACTCCTTGTCTATTGTAATGCCCTAAACATGGGGCTGCCCTTGATGAGCACTCAGAAGCTGCAATCAATCAAGAAGGTCCTCGTTCAAGTTGCTATATATATATATTAATTGGTTTACTTGTGTAACATCACTATGCTGATAGCTGCATTAGTTATGCGAACACTTTTGAATATAATTCATATCATATAATGTCATATTTAAAATCTTTTAAGGTTTCTGATGTGGGTATTTTGGGGACTGTCTTTTTCCTTTGCCCTCTACCCCTCCATTGAGATTTAAAAGGAGGGGGACTTCCTCCAGGTTCTTACCTTTAGGAAATGTGTTTAACAAGGACCTCAGAGGCAGGTCTTCTCTGTTGCTGTCCTCTTTTTTGGAACAGTATGTCTCTCTCCCTGGAGCGAAAGTAATCTCAGGCTTTTGGTGCGCTACAAGGCCATTAATACCAACCTGTTTCAGCAAGCCGGGATGGTTCCTCCTGCAAGGGAACATTTGTTGAGTATGGAATTTCAAGGCACTATGTTTTTTGTTCTGGATTAATTGCCATTGTGGGTTGGCAACGTTTTTATGAGTTTTTACTTTTTAAAATTCACCATTGCAAGAACTGCGTGAGCTACTCAGAGTCACTTGTTGATTGAAGATGCATATACATCTAGTAAGCAAGCTAGCAAATAAATAAAAAAAATTTTCCCTCCTTGTATTTTCACTTGCTTTATTGAAGATTTCAAAGTCTACAGATGTCTCCTTCTGCTACATGCCAGGGTGAATGCATCTTTCAGCAGCACCTTTGCCAGATGTCTGCTCCCCACTGGGACATTGACTGAGAGATGCGCGATTTGCACTTCAACACATCTGGAGGACACAAAGTTAGAAAAGGCGGTTCTATGTATTGGTGTCTGCTAAAATATGTGACAGGAAGTAAACAGGGACTATAAGCATGGATGTTATACCAGTTTAACTGGTGTAACTTCTGCCAAGGAGTCAAATGAAAATGTAAATCGGGATTTGCCAGTCAATCTTCCGGGCATGATTTGTAGTCTATCTGCAAGATTTACAACTCCTTCTTCTTTAATAAAAACAAAAACAGAAGGGAGCTGTCCTCTTTCCCTAGGCAGATTTCATGGGTACAAAACGAAATTGTTCCTAATGATCAGAACCAGGTTCCTGCAATCCGTGTACTATTCGGAGAACAGTGTTGATAAAGCTTGGAGGGGGGAAAAGCATGGTTTCAACTTCACTGAACATTTGGTAGGTAGAGGTAAAAGCAAATTTGGTTTAGCTATGATTTAAGTGAGTTAAAGTACATGCACATAGTTTGACATGACTTTTTTTTCTATTTAAAATATGGGAATATAGAATGAATTGGAAATCATGGAACAGTTGAGGTGTGCGTGCATAGGTTGAATGAAAACTTAATTGGGTGTTGCCTCTGAAATAATTCAGATATCTATCAAACTGCAGCCTCCCAGGTCATAATTACACAATTGCACTTAGGAGGAAAAACAAGACTATTTCTAGGTATGAATTCATTTTTTTACTAAATATATTTATTTAAACATGTAATCCACCAGTTGTTCCAAAGCAACTTATAGAGTCAAAAGAACATAAAGACATAATAAAGGAGAAGGAAAACAGAACTCAGGTGAGAAAGTGACCTAGCATTGCCTATCAAGATTGAACATACCTATAGAGAGGTCACCGAACTTGGAATAACATGAACGGTGAAAATATTTGGCTTTTGATAAACAGGCAAGTCAACCGATGGAATAACTTGCAGGAATCGGCTACAAATTAATATACTACAAGAGCCAAATGAAGAGTAGACAACTGAAGCTTCAGATAACCATGAAGTGTTGTGAGAGATTTCAGCTACTCTACCCAATTGTTGCAAGTCCAAGGTCATGTCAGACCCCAAGATCTAAGAAAGACATGTGGAATTACTCCCTTACCTTATTGTTCCTCGCCTATAGACAGAAATCTTGTCAAACTAAAGCAACTATTTGCATCGCTATAGATATATTCTGGGAACTGGTAGGAAAGAACTTTTTAAACTTTCTTTCGCCTGACTAAACTTTCCATAGTTTGCTTCCTCTTGGCCCTCTGCAATGCAGCCCCTCCCTCCTGGGAATCCAGACTATCATTCCACAGTAGGCCATGTCTAATGGCATGATTACAAACAGCCTAAATGCGTGACAAATCCTATTTCCTTCTTTGACAGGTAATTACTGTAATAGATAAGGGGAATGCTGCAGGTATAGTATAAAAAAATAAATAAAAGCTTTTGAGAAGATTTCAGATGACATTCTTGTTGACAAGCTATTGAAGTGTGGTTTGGATGATGCTACAATAAGATGGGTCCACAACTGGCTATCTAACCACACTCACAGATTCAGCACTGATGGCTTGAACTGAAAAGAACTAGGTTGGGTCTGTCTTAGGACCTGCATTATTTAACATTTTTATTCATGACCTATATAATGGAGTTGATATGGTGCTTGACAAAATTGGGACACAAAACTGGAAGGTGTAGTTTACCACCAGAGTGACAGAATGAGATTGCCATCTATTCTAGATAGCTTGATAGACTGAGCTGAGAGCAAATCCTTCAACTAGGATAAGTATAAGGTATTATATTTAGTAAGAAAAAAAATGTATAGCATCCATACAAGATGGGAGATTCCTGGTTTGGAAACACTGCATCAGACAAGCATTTGGTGTGGTTGTTCTGAACAAGTTGTACATGACCACTAGTCTGAGTGAGTTCCTAGAAGGGCTGGTGTAGTTCTGTGTTGCATTAGAAGAAGTTCTGCACCAAAGAAGTATGATGTCTTTTTTCCCTTCTCCTATACACGAGTGAAATCATGCAATTCTTATATTATCATTCCAGAAAGAAATTGCCAGCTCAGAACATATCTAGAGAAAAGTGGTTGAAGATCCAGTGGCTTGAGGAGGTACCCTATAAGGTCAGGCTAAAGAAAGGAAATATAATCAGGAAAATAGAAGACTGAGGTGAAATATTATTCCAATGTTCAGGTACATACAAGGGTGCCTAATTTTCTATTGCCACAGAAATGAGGACCAGAAATCATGGTCACAAATTATAGCTACCTGGGTTTAATTTCAGAAAAAAGTTTGTACAACAGTGGAACAGCCTGCCTATGGAAGTTGTGGGTTTGCAGTTTGGAACTGCCATAGTAAATGTGTCATGAGAACATAGTTAATTTGTTCCAAGTTGAACTGAATTCAGAGTTATATCTATTTTTTTAACAAAAGCATAAAAAGCATCAAGTAAAATAATACGTACAATACCTGTCTTAGGATACATCTGTACTTACCCGTTAAAATGGTCTTATGACTTGATTCTAAACCAGGTATCTTATTGACAGGATTGCCAACAGCTTGCAAGGTGTTCAGTCTGGATTGCAGGCCATTATATCCTCCCATAGGATAATGGTGTTATGGTGCCCGTCCTATTTTCCTTATAGCAAAGTGACTGACAGTTCCTTTCTGTGGGTGAGTATCCTCAGAGAGAGGGATTGAGAGAGATAAATGAATGTGGATGCACACAGACAGACATAGATACACAGACAATTAAATTTATATATACAAATTTAAAGCGTTAAACACATATACTGGTTTGCACAGCAACTACAAAAACTTATTTTTATTTTTTTAAAAAACCCTTTCGTTACTATTGTATTTGTTTCTAAGGATTTTTTTTAAAAAAATATATTTTACATAATTGTTGCAAATTTACAGTAAGTATACAGGTAGTCCTCACTTACCAACTCTAATTGGGATAGGCAATTCTGTCACTAAGTAACACTGCAATAAAATGAAACATCACATGACAGCACCCAACTTTCAATGTCGATTGATTCAGGCGACAGTGATTAAATGAATCACCCACAGTCCTTAAGCACAAATCAAGTCACTGCAATTTACAACTTCCTGCTGGGATCCACACTGTATATCAGAAGCCAGCAAAGGGTGATCAGATATCTGTGGGACACTGCAACCGTTGTAAATGTGCACGGATTGCCAAGCATTCAAATTGTGATCACATAATCATGGAAATGTTATGGTGATCACATGTTTCAGGACTGGTTGCAACATATGTAGAATGGAGTTGTTCTGTGGCTATATTGTGGAAGAAGAAGAATGATCTTATGGGTAGTTAATTGTGCTCTTCCTTTGGTAACTTTTTATTTCTAGAATAAGGAGAATGGTAACCTAAAAGTGTTTGGGTTGCCATGTAGAATTGTTTTATTTCTAATTCGAGGTAACTAGTCCCAAATTTTAAAATGGAGATTGAATCCTCACCTTGACACAACATTATCTACTGCTGTAATCACACAAATATTATTAAATGCATTATAAATAGTACAATAATAAAAGAAGGGTATTTGGACTAGGAAAGGCCACAGAGAAGTGCTGCCAATTATTATGATTAGTGCTTGGTATTCATTGGCATTATCTACTAATGGTCCAGACAAAACCATTTAAATGTCAAACTTCTTTATTACATTAATAAATTAATTAATTACATTAATCAGAGAACATTATTGGGCTAAATTGTAAATTTCTAAATATTTGTGTTTGAAAGTTTAAAATGCTTTTTTTAAAGAGATCAGAAGTGCAAGTGAAGCTGAAGCTAAGTTCCATGTCAGAATTTATCTTCTGCACTTAAAAATGTAAAGAGATTTCCACAGAGCGACAATATGATATTGGGAGGTCTGGTCATATTACCAAACCACAGTTTTGGCTTTAAAATGTTCTTGTTTTCATTTCAAACATGTATGGAAAATGGTTGTGAGATTTTGTCGAAGTGCAGCACAGGGCAATCTAGTGCTTTCCAGATTTTGGATTACAATACCCATCATCACTTATCATTGGCTATGTTGGTGATGGAAGCTGGAGTCTGCAGAGTTGAAATCTGAGGCTTCTAGGATGTGAAAGATTCCCCCCCCCCCACAAGTGATGGTTACATGATAAGCTGAGGAAAAGACTTTGTTTGAATTTTCCTCACATTTCATGCCCTTTTCATTTATGTATTTAAAACAAATATATGCTTTCAAACAATATAATAAATGGACAAAGAATATTACTAATGTTATACCATTAATGCTGTATTCCCTGCTCTATGAATTTTCCTTTTTGTGTATCCTTTCCAGCGTGAAATCTTTGTTGTTGGAAAACTAGGCTGGGCCTAGGCTAGAACACAGTGAGCTTATCCACCAAGCTCGTGCAGCCAGCAGTGCTATTTATGTGCTGTGCAGTGCTTTGACCTTCTGAATTGGTTTCCCATTTTAGGAAAGGAAGAGGCAGCGATGGGAGAGAAAGAGACAGGCAGCTTTTTTTAACCAGCTCCACAAAGTGACTCTATTTCCATCCATTATACTTTTATTAGTTGATTTGGGAATGAAATAGCACTTCAGTGGTTTAAGAGGATGTACCAGTGTGGACTCCCACAATTTATAAGATGAGACCGGAAGATCCTGATGATTTATAAACACTAACAGATTCTCTTTTTGTTGTATATAATCCTCAATTCCATGGTTTTCCTTCAGTCATGTTTGTGTATTTTAGACCATGCTTTCATTTTGTCAGGACAACATTGTGTGTGGTTCCCACACATGAGAAATGTTGTTGGCTGCCTTGAGGCAGTCCCCTTATAGAAAGTTAGAAATGGTAGAGATTTCTGACTACACCACATCCTGACATACTGAATGTGGGTCATTTTTCCAGCGCATGCATGACTGCAGCTGTATCTGTCTTCCCTAAAATGATGCCCTCCAGATGTATTGGATTACAATTCCCCTTAATGTCCAGCAAGTCATGGCTAC